TTTTTTTTTTTTTTTTTTTTTTTTTTTTTTTTTTTTTCCAAGGATTTTTTCCCCTTTTTTCAACCCGCTGCTTGAATACATGACGGATTAAATTAAAACAGAGTTGCACTTACGATTCTCCTAAGATCATGAGACTGGCATTAAGCAGACAGGGAAGTGGGTGATAGGCAAGAAATAAAGGGTAGCCCAATGTTAATTCATCGAACCAAAGATCGGTTGTTCCACTTTCAAGAAGTTCTTTCAAGTAAAGTGCTTCGACTTGATGTGAGTACATATCCCCTCCGTGCGCATACCCGGTGTTGCTTGTCAAGTAGGAGTTAGAGTTGGAGACCAGTGAGAAGAAAAACGATGAACTCGCGGAAAACAGAACAACGCAGCTCAACCAATGCGGAATGTCAAACTCTGTCTGAGAATCTTCTTGGCCGTCTCCGGCAATGTGTAATGGATCTTGATCGCCCATCTTCAGTTTTGAGTTTTGCGGTCTAAAAAACTTACATGTAGTAATGCAATGGTGACATGATCTGCCGCTTATATCCTCCTTAAATTGGGGATCTGCGAAAAAGGACCAATAGCTTATCGTTAATTTTTAAGCATGCCATTCCTTGTTCCGCCCACGCAGGAAACGCGCAAGATGCCGGCGTGCTCAAGTTAAACACCGACCAACTCGCAGGCGAAGTACTGATAATCCCATGTAGCGACTGTGGTGTTGTTTGTAATCGGGTTGTTGCGCTCTTTAACATCTGCTGTGGTTTTATTTGTGGCTAAATCCGCGGAAATGTTTATGTAGATCGGGCCAGCAGGCGTACCGCGTTCTAATGTCTTCCCGGCAAGTTTGTGATATCGTTCCTTTCGGGAGATTATTGCCATCGATACTGGAGGTCATGACACACTGATGTTACCTTATCCTTCCATAAAGTTGCCGAAAGCACATGTAACAAGATACTTATTCCCCTGGCATCAATATTCCACAACAAAGAGAGCTGTACTGATAAAACATTTCCCTCCGTCTCGCGTGCGTCAAGGTTCATGTTCAAATATATGACGCTCACACTGTTTTGGTAGCAGACCGCAGTCAAATGCAACGCGGTAACAGTCGGACAGTCAGTAAAAGTCACAACAGAAGTGTCTGTGATAACGGAATAGAACAGTTCTCGAGCGGTTGTTGTAATGAAAGAAGTTGTATTCTACTACGATGTTGTTTGTCCATTCGCCTTTATGGCAAGTAAGCTGATAGAGGGTGTTGCTCGTCGAACTGGAGCAAAAATTCGGTGGAAACCGGTTCTTCTAGGTAAAGTATGTAACACTTATCGCATGAATGTTGACAAGGGGAATTTGATTTGGTTATGTGATTGGCGTAATAGCCGATACGAATAATTTATCAAAAAACGAGTATGTTATCCCCAAACTTTAACAAAGACAAGAAAAAAGGAGACCCTTCTCTTCGAGTGTCAGTCAAAACTCTGATTTGCACAGGATACCCAGATTTAGTAATACCGTATTTATTCGATTAACCACCCTGAGCGCTTATTAAATTTTTGGACCTTGAGAGTGGGCGCTTATTCAAGGCTGAGTGCTTATTAAATTTTCACCATTTTCAGCAAGTGAAGTATGTTTATTTTGCAACAAAACAATAAATGCCATAACAAAACGTAGAGAAGTAACAAAGCAAGGTTTCTGTAAAATACTCTGAAGAAAACTCTGTCCTCGGGGAAGTCTCTTATTATAATTTATTCACTCAAGTGGGTGGGGTGGGGGTGAGTGCTTATTTGAGTTCAATTGGGAGGAGGAGGGGGTGGGTGCTTATTCAAGGCTGGGCGCTTATTAACTTTTTCTGCCTTTAGGATGCGCGCTTATTCGAGGTTGGGCTCTTATTTGAATAAATACGGTAGTCAATTTGATTTTTGACAGACTTGTTTGTATACCATTCTCAGCACAAGTTGATGAGTTAATTTTTTTTTTTTTTGGTTTCATTTTTAACTCTTATTGAAGCAGGGCTTCTTGGGAGTCTTCTCCTCCTGTTCCTCTGTGATAATCTCACCAAACAATGATGTACTTCACAACAACAGCAAGAACCAGGACAAGACCACTTCGAACAATACCCCACCCCTGGCCCTAAGGGCCTGAATTTTCCTGGGGGTTGCCTTGGGAGGGCAAAGGGGGTGGTAGCCAGTAAAATTTAACTGTGCATTATGCTTTGGAACAATCATTCACAGCCCCTGAAATTTCTAATGTTACCAGTATTGATTTGTAAATCTGATAACAATAAGTATTCTAAGCAGAAAAAAAGCTGGACGAATAATAGTTCTACTGTCAGTTTAATTTCCTTGTGAAGAGCAACAATAGTTTACCTAGCTGTTGACTGTGGTTTTTGGTGTGAGATACATTTCTTTTTCTTATTTTCTGATATTTAAAGGTGGCCTGTACAAAGGGACACAGGCACCCCGGGGTGCTGGAGGATCTGCATATGATGCTATGTGTGCCTCCAAAATAAAGATATTAGCCGATGGTAAGGATTTACAGGCCTCAAAATATTTGTGAGCATTCTTGTTACCATTTTTTTGTAATATCATATACTCTGTATACAGTTACAGTTAATTGGGAACAGAATTTGATTTAACACAACTACATGTAAGGAAATAAGCAGATACAGTCAAACCTCTATTAAGCGGTCACCCTCGAGAATTAGCCAGCTGACCGGTCAATAGAGGTTTTCTAAAATTAATAATTATAAGATATGGCCCATAATGTGGCAGAAATTGACATCGAGGGCAAAATCCATCACTGTTTACAAATTTTACTGTTCACAACAGCACTAACAGGAAATATATCGGGAACTTTTGTTATGATGGTCGCAATTTCGTGAAACGTTTGCCACTGAAGAAGATTGGAAAACCATAATCTGGAATGACAAAGAAATAAAAGTAGAAAACAAGCCGATTTATTATAAACACTATGTTAATGTGAGAGTCATTTGCATTTCAAGATCTTTTATTTAGTCTGAAAAGTACTGATTCTTATAATCAACTGTCCAAAAACATATGCAAAACAAATATTTTAGAATGGGCTGGCTTACGTGGGTCCATCCATTATCGTTAAGAAGTTATGACAGGTATCCTTCCATCAACTCTCCAACATTTGTGGTGGGTGACAATAATTTTGATGTTACAAAAGGGAAATCAAAGGATTACTACAACATACTCATCAGAGAAAAAGCTAAATCGCCCAATATTATTCAAAAATTACAGAGTAACTTTCATTTTAACAGCGACAATCTGAAGCAAATATTTAAGCTGTCACACTCTATCATTGTCGCATCGTATGTTAAAGCCTTCCAGTACAAAGTAATTAACTCAATTCTTTACACAAATGCAAAGTTGTATAAAGTTAAAAGTTAAAGTTAAAGTTGTTTCTGTTTAATGATTTATGCACTTTCTGTGACAATCAACCCGAATCATTAACCCATTTGTTCTATCACTGCTCACGCTCTAAACAGTTTTGGAGTGAATTTGAACTATATTGGTGCCTTATTTTGAATCAACGAATTCGTCTCTGCTTAGAAAATGTGCTCTTTGGAATTTTGACAGAAAATGCTTGCCCTTCACTTCAATTGCTGAACTATTTTATAATTATTGGAAAACTCTATTTGCTGAAAAATATTTCACGAGTGAGCGCAGCGAACGAGTGAAATATTTTTCAACACGAGTGAATATAACCAATGAAATGCCAAACCTTTCTACTTAAATAGTTTTTTGGTCTGAAAGTAGACTGCAAAACAGTCCGTATTTTTGCTTATTCAAGTACGCGCGAGCAGTCAAACTAAAGGTCTGGAATGAGGCTGACATGCCCTATGGGGGTGTGAGGCTTGCGCGCTTCGTGCGCGTAAGACTCTTACGCCACGCTTTACCGATTTCTTTACTGATTTTGAGAAAAAAAACCGACTGTTTTGCAGTCTAGTCTGAAAGGTGCGGTTTATTATGAAGACATAGCAATGGTGTTATTTTCACATGTGAAGATATCAAGTTTTTGCGAGAAAGCTCACTTGGTATTTTACTGGTGTTTATATCATAATACAATATACTAGAGGTCTTTTAATAAACCTCAACAATTTCGTCAATACTGAGTTACAGAATCCTGAATACAAGAGAAGACCTTCTACATAAGGGGCTACATTTGTCATAGCCCCTACAATGGCACTTGTTGTAAAATTCATTTTTATGTATTTAACAGATAGCTAATGGATAGCAAACAGCTTATCTAATGCTCTAACGGTTTGTCCAAACGCTCTGACGATTAATTTGTTCTAATGCTCTAACGGATTGCTCCTACGATCTAACAGCTGACTCTTAGCAGCTAACAGTTGGTCCTTCTAACCTTTGACTTTAACTTTACTTGTAAGAGAAAATTACCAGTGATGAATTCGATTCGAAGGAAGTCTTACGGAAGTCTTTTTTAAGACTTCTGTCAAAATTAATCGGGCAAATCGATCGCAGTTGTCAAAAGGTCCCTTGTTTCTCCGGGAATAAATTTTAGCGCATCGATTAATAATAACTCCTTTATCTCGAACATGTATCTAGATTACGGACTCGATTGCAGGTTAGTCTGATAAAAACTTAAGCTAATGGAGAACAAACGTCGTCTATCTCGGCGCCATTTCTCAAGCTTCTTGCAAAAAACTTTTCTAGCCAATTTATGTTGACAATTGAGCCCTTCGCGACAAAGCGTTGCGTGACCACCAAAGTGAGAGCTTTGCTGCATTTTATTGACTTCTAATAACTCAAAAGACAGTGCAACTTTTTAAAAAATTTCTGTCAGGTCTTCCTCCACCCCGCCTTAAATCCAACCTTGTTTGTTGGATGGGAGGAGGGGTTGGGCATGTGTGATTTCAAGGAAGCCCCACAAATGCAAATTTGTCCCAAGGTTCTGTCCAATTGATTGTAGTTTGGATGCTGGTAAGACCACTCAACTACTGATGAACCAGCCACTTACAACATTATTGCTGTTTATTGACCTTTAGGTAACCAGGTCTGGGTGAGAAAGATCAACACACTTTTCTGCACTCAGGGTCACTTTTCTATCCCCCAGTCAATGGTTGATACACAGCCCCATCCCACTAAAAAAAAGTAGTAATCGCCCCCTCCTTGAGATTGACGTGTCTGTTTTTTCAAGCAAATTATGTATACATATCTTTAGCATAGGATATAAAATGGCGTTTATGCCTCTGGGGACGTTTCACCAGGAGGAACATCTGCGCCTCGGAGACAGAAAATTCCATACTGATGATGTAAAATCTGTCCAGGAACTGGTCAGGAGCTCTGATTGGTCGACATACATGCAGTAGTTATATTGTTTTACCTGTTGTTTACGAATGACAAACAAAAGACAAAAGGCAACAAATTTGAAATGTACCAGTGAATGGGGTCGTAAACATAATGAATTTACTACAAAACAGTCAATATTCCT